CTAGAATTTTCACAGCCAGGAAAGAAACTTCTTTCCAAATATTTTGAATCTTCTTTAACTTTGCCAATATTATCACTCAATGATGTAATTAAATTCACCAAATATGACCAGGTCCAGGATAGAGGTATTTATTGACATTATTTGAAATCAAATTTCATATTTTAATTTCCCCCTGAAGGCTTGGCATACCACACATCAAGCCATCTGTTTGAAATTTTACTAGATAATGGTATTTAAAAATATCTTTCAGGGAAGGCCAAAAACAGGGCTATATACATTCTAGGTGACAACTAAAATGAAGTTAGCTGCTCTATTCTTACATGAAAAACTAATTTAAAATATATTTTCTTTCATTAGTAATATATGATCTGCCTAAAACATGTTTTTGAACCTTATTATTTTATGAAAAAAGAATACAAACTTCATCGCTAATAATAGAGTAAAAATATAACTACAATATTTCTCTAAAATATAGGGATCATTAAAAATTGAAATTTCTATAGAAGTTATCAAAAATAGCTGAACTACTTTAGATGATATAAGCTGTATCATTCCAGTTAGCCATATCTTATTTTTACACTGGACTTCAAGTTTTTAAAGTGCTTTACTGTATATTGTCTTGCTCATATCTCATAATAATGCTGTAATATAGGCTTGGCAGAGTCCACTTTCCCCACTATAGAGAGGAAATGGGCTTAAAGTAGTGAAGATTTAAGTTAGATGTCTTTTCCATAACTACTGCACTAGTAAATGCTCAAGTCAAACTTGAAGCTGGGAACATTCGCCAGTCTCTACTTAAATATTTTCTCATTCTATAATTTGGCCTCTTAATTTAGTTCTTTCTCCACATAGCAGTCAAAATGATCTTTGCGATATCATAATGGGATCCTATCACTCATAATTAAACATTGGTGTCAAATTACCATATTACTTAGATACCACCCCAGATTCTTCACAGGAAATTCATGGTCCTCCACGGTCCAGCCTCTGTTCTTTTCCTTCTATGTCATGTGCCACAGCTGTGTGCCTGCCCTGTAGGCTCCAGCTACGCAATGCTTCTCTTCCTTACAGCCATGTGTGACAAGGGACTTCATGGTTCTTGCTTACTCTCCTTGGCCTGCCGATCTTCTCTCTTCACGTGGCAACACCCAGTCATCACAAGGCCGTGTTAACAGTCATACCAGTGCCCCTGTTACTTCCTCAGAGAAGTCTTTCCCGGACCCACCACACCAACCAGTTGTTCTTGCTGCTATCTTTTAGGAAACCTTAATTACTCATGTGTTTATCCTGCTACATCTATTTGTGCAGTAGTTTGCATAACACCTCTTCTTACCAATTTGCGAAATCTAGTGAACTCAGTCAGCATCCAAGCCTGCTTGGCTCCATGCTGGCCTCCAGAGCTTGTCCAGTATTGGCACAGAGTAACTCCTCAGTGAGCATTTGTGGCCTGAGTGAGTGAATGAATGAGTCCGTGTTATTGGTGGGTAGCTCCTTTTCCCAGCATACTTCTCAATTAAACTAATCAGAATTTATATAGGTTTTTCTTCTTTCTGGAAATATGCATGTAGAAATGACCTGTTGATACTTGAATGATTTTAGCAACACTTAGAAAATTATCAGACGAAGAGTTAAAAAAATTAAACTGATTTACAAAGGAACTCTTTCTTCTGAGGTTTAATCAGAGGAGACTTCAATTGAGCATGAAGCAGCCTAAGCTCTGTTGTTGGGTAAAGGCCATGAGGCAGAGACAAGATCATTTGTAGAACACAGATTGGGATTTATATACCTTCTTGTTTTAATGTTTGATTCTTTGTCTAGGACTCAACTCTTTGCTTATTCTCAGATAGGAAAGTGCTTTAGAATTCTATTCTTGATTTTTATTTCTTTTTCTCCACCATGATGTACAGTCTGTGCTGCTATAACATGTTTCTAAAAATCACTGTATATTGTCATGCCATGTGATACTAAATATCAGTGTGCTCTGTAAAACCACACAATAGAAACCACAATGCTTGCGGGGGGAGGGTGGGATGAGAGGTGCCGTGCTCAAAGCTTCATCAGTGACACCTGAAAAAAGGATGCCAACAAAAATGGTAGCTAAGCATTCTATGTTTTAAATGGTTAAGAAATACATAGGTACTATCATACATTTGGTAATTTACCTTGAAAAAGACTTGCAATTTGATGGGTGGAAGTGGGGATCAGAAAAGATACAGCTTGTGAGTTCTTAAATTATGGAAGGGAAGGCTGCCTGAAATCAGAGGGAAAGTTGTAGCACAGATGTGAGTGAGTGTGGCTCATCATATGCATAGTAGCCTGAGGTCTATTTGAAATGTGTGTGTTTTGTGTTTATACACATCTTGGCTCAGCTGGGAATATTCTCTGTACTTACCTACTTTTTTGTCATGAACAAAATCTGGCATAAGCAAATATGAGATTTGTGTCACTCGCAAAGTGTGCCCTGATTTATCAATTGTAGTGGAACAGATTTGCCTTTTAAAGTAGCAGAATTGCCTCTACTATAAATTAAAGGGGATGAGAAAAACTTGATTCTAGTTTTAGAGCTGCCATTTCTAACATTGTAGCCTGGGCAAGCTTCTCCCTTTGCCCTTGTATCTTTCAGTGGAGGGGATAGTAAGCATGACTGCTATCTTGTAGGGAGTAGATACCATAAGGAAGATGAAAACAGTTTGTAAATGCCTCACTCCTTTTCCCCTCTCCTTGCTGGAAAAGATGCAGAATTAACCTGTGGGCACAAAATCAAAATTACTTTGACAACCAATAAATTTATACCCAGCACACAAATAATAAAGTAATTCCAGACAAGTTATAGATATTATCTCTTTGTGTTTTTAGTCATTTAAAAGAAATCAGGCAAACAAACCTTATGTATTTGAGATACAGGTGCAGGTTTGGGTTATTGTGAAGCTTTGATGGATTAATCGAAACACAATGTTTGAAGGGAATATATTTTAGTAAAGGTTTCCCTTTATAGACTTAATTCCCTGGAATTAATTCCCTGCTGGAGGATATATGTGTAGTTTTTGTCCATGTTTGAAAAGGCACCAATAAATTGAATAGAAAGGATTATCTATGTGGAAAAGTTCTCTCTTATTATACACTGGCATTCTTCAGTATGGCAGTAACTGCATCTGTATAATATTTGCTTTATTTTTTGTAAACAAAAGATGGTGTTTTCTCTGCAAAACTTCACATCTTTCATAGATGCTCTTTTGATCTAGTTAACATGCTATTTCCCTTCATGTTTTTGGAATCAAAACACAGTTTTCCAAATTCTGTTATAAAGGTGACTGCTATATAGCTCCTAGTATGGTGAGTGAATACAGAGAGGAATGTTGTAATAACTCAATATTTAATTTTTTATTGTTGATATTTTGACCATTTCTGTGGAATTGACTTTAATTAACACATTTGTCTTACCAAAGTACCTTTCCCAAATTTCCAAGATAAAAACTAGATTTTGATTTTTACTCATCAATTTATACTAATACCTTTATCTTTGTAGTAGTTTTTTGAGCACTTGTCCAAAGTAACAGAGTAAATATCTGATTCTGATTCCTTTCTGGTGTTGATTAATAATAACACATTCTGAGTGTTAAAAATGGTCTATGTTAGGGGTGAGCAAAAGGCCGGCTCCACAATCAATAAGCAAATTATATTTCTAGCACTACTGTGTATTAAGCAATGTGATGAAAAACACAAAGTATATTTGTACTGAGACAGTTATAATCTTGAGTAAATAATTACCTAGTTGGATAATTATGATAAGTGCAGGTGAAACACACCAACAGTAAAAAGTAAGGACCTCAAGGGTGGTAATACAGTAGATGCTGTTGGAACTCAGGACAGGAAGAGAATGATAAAGTGACACAGATAGAGTTCCAGAGGGCATGGCAGAAAGCTGAGCCTCCGAGGAGCTCTAGCCTCTAGATAGAGACCTCAGAGAGCCTTTGAAGGGGCACAAAGGGCATGGTCAAAGGCTCAGAGTCAAGGAAATGTGTAAGCATATTTAGATGCTCATGATTCATTTCTAGATTATAGTCTGTTTTCCTCATTGTTCTCAGGGTAACTTTTTCCTCATATGTTAGAGCTGGAGGAAATTGATCTTTGCTATCACTTAGGGTGACTCTGCCCCGTGCAGTGAATCATATTTAACCCTGAGTAATCTGTGAGACTGAGTGAGAGTGCCTGATTTATTTTAACACAAAGGACTCTGCTTCTCTTCCTTCCCTTTAGGGATATATGTCCCTCCCCAGGAGGCATTGCATCTTTGGTTTTTGTCATGGAATTGTGTATCCTCGATGCAAAGTGCTCAATTTAGTAACAGCAATAACTATAACAACATATTATGCTTACAAAAAAGGCAGCAACCCAGCAAAACCAGCAAAACACAAACAAACAGAAAAGATATTAGATAGCAGAGCCAGTATTATCAGGAGGATCTCAGCTGTGTGCAGAACCATCTATTCTGGGTCATTTAGGCCTTCTTTTAATCCCTTATGCCCGTTGGTGAGATGAGCTAGTTTTCTAGGATTATGAAAACCACGGGTGGTTTGCTTATTTTTATCTCCGAAAGCCTAACTGGACAAAACTAAAACTAATTCTTTAATCGCATTTCCTCAACTCCATGGTCTAATTAGCTCAAAATTCTTGGTCCTTCTATAAAATAAACAACAATGTTCTCTCAAAACCATGATTCAGAAATTGAAGAGATGAAAGAATTTTGAATAGACAATGATGCTTTTATTAATTACTGTGTGAATTTCTGTGCTTTTGGTACTATCTGGGGTCATAGTTCTTCATAAGAAGCCAACTAATTTAATAGAAATTATTTAAGTATCACAGTCATGTTAACCAGGATTCAAAATCTGTATTCTGATATATATATCTCAGGTTAGCACTTAGGAACCAACATCTGTTACCATTTGTTTTTGTCATAAACACTTTGTTAAAAGCCATTCCCTTTGTGCCTTTTGTAGCATGAGAAGCTGATACATGAATTGGAAGAGGAGAGACACTTGCGTCTTCAAAGTGAGAAGCGGTTGCGGGAGGTTACCCTTGAGTCCGAGTGCAACAGAGCTCAGATGAGAGGTCTGCAGCGGCAGTTCTCCAGGTATTGTTGCGAAGCAGCTTCTGGAGGGGCATCCCTCCCTGCACCACTAACACCTTGGATTGAATTTCTGTTGTTGCACTTGACCAGTTGATTTCCCAGCAGCTTAGACTGTCTATTCTGGCCAAGTCATCCTATTACATCTAGACTGATTTTGTGAAACTTACAATTTGCAACTGACATAGTCTGGGCTTTATTGAAGCTTGTGTTTTCTTCCCCAGTGGCTTTCCAAAGGGTCTTTCGGCGAGTTCACAGTAGTTTTGCAGCCTGTGAGCATGTTCTGTGTAAAGCTAGCCAGGAGGATGAGATTTCCTGGTCATCACAATCTTGTTTCAGGATAGAGATTTTGTATCTAATTACTCAGTTAACTCTTACTCATTTATGAGAGATTAAAAGAAAAGGAATTCCTGTCTTTTGAAAAGATTCACCCAGATTTTGAAAGTAGTCTCTGAAAAAGTAGCTCTTCTTAGATTTCACTCTAGCATAGCCAGAATCTTTCCATTCAGATCATAGTATGGGTCCAACTAAGTTCCATGGAATAAATATAAATGTGTGTTTTGGGGACCAGGTCTAGGCTCTCTGTGAGGGACACTTTAATTTATTCCTGGGATTTGAAGGGCTTCCTCATTTGAAGCTTTCCTAATAGCTTAATTTTACATGTGTTACAGGGAGAAAGCAAAATTTTGCCTCAAAGTCATTTAGCTCACCATAGCTAATTCAATGAGTACTGCAGCTTTGGTTCAGAGGTTTCTTAGAGGAAAAGGGGAAGAAAGACGGATGATGCCTCTGTGTTCAGCATCATAATTTAACACTCTATTCAATGACTCAAGCCCCTGATAATACACAGGTATGGTAGAAATGCACCAGTCAATACTTTAACATATGCATGTCCCACCCCTCATAGTCTATTATTTAGTTCACCTTATTCTCAATTTTTCACTCCTTTAATGGGATTTCTCACATTATGTGTACCAACTGGTAACAATAGATTCTATCCCCCAAAAGAAGCACTTGTTTGTAATCCTTTCTGTTGTAATGATAAAGGAAAGGAGGAGGCAGATCTTTCTCTTTCCACTAATTGATGTATCTCTATATCCAAACTATTGATTTTCATGATGCAGTATACATGACACAGTAAATTATTTTTGGATAATGCCAGGCCATCTGCTGTAAATCAGATGACAATGGACACTACTTCCTGAGCTGAAAGAAAATAGTTGTATGTGCAATAAATAGGGGTTAGATTTGCATCTTATTTTTGTAAGGATTTTTTTCAATGTGATCATTTTTTATGTAAAACTTCATTGAAACATAGTAAAGTTCAGATCCATTTACACACAGCCAGACAATAAGTGTAAATTAGAAAAAAAACAGCGGCAAGCACATATAGCAGATAATTCCACCATAATTTGAGTATATGTATTGAACCATTTCTGATAAGCTTTTACAGTTTAAACTTTAGGTTTGAAGCTATTTCTCATAATGTCTATTCAAACACTCTTGTTAATTTAAGTCTTTATAAAATTGTGAGAATTATAGAACATGCCTATGATGCATCATCATTGGCTATTGTCAGTGTATAAATGATCAAACAAATAATTTGTGTAATCTAAACCATTGAATTAAAAATTTTATATTCATAATTTTATCTTTTTTACTGTGGGTTGACATGATACTATCAGGGATGTCGAATTACTTTGTGTTTATGCTGAGGTTGTTTTTTAGAATTAAATTGAAAAAACTGTTTTCTCTAATAATGTGGTGTGACTTATAATAAAATGTAAATTTAAAATAAGGCTGACGGGATAAAAAGCAAAAGTAAAGACCACAACATGAGAATGTGAGAATTAATCACAATGCCATAGTCAACAAGTGTTCTAAGAATGAGCATTTAATTTAGGTCTAAGATTCCTGGCTGGCAGTTTCTAAAAGAAAGCATAAGAAATAATTCTTATCTCATACTCAAACAGTACTACACTTTAACGAGAAAAACATTATCTTAGGCAGTAAGTGCATAATAAATGTGTCACTGAGGTCCCTTCATTGCATTGAAGACATTGAAGAATGCAGTAGACAGTTGTTCAAGATGGCATACATTAGCGTGGATTCTTGTGAATCCTATGATTTCCACTATGTCTCTTTTGTCTAAAAAATTAAGCAGTTTCTGAATTTCATAATATATGGACTAATAATACTGATCCGTGTCTGAGGGAAGAGGTGAAACAAGAATCATGTGCCTAAAGTTCTCAAATCAAGCTCTATGCTTCAAATTCATTGGAACACTTATGTGTGTGTATGCCTTTCTAGCACTATTTTTATGAACCTGCCACAAGAGGCATGTGATACTAAAGCCTGAACCTGCTGATTAAAGTGTTTATTGGTATCTTTGATAGCACAGTGGACATAGAAGCCATTAAGCAGTACTTAGGGGCTTATGTATTGAGTCCTTAATCTTAGCTTGAGGGACAAAGTGAGGCAAGGGAGGGAGAAGTTAGACACTGGGACAGTTAAGTGTATGTGGGAGGTAGAAGTCAGGTGTCAGGATGAGTGAAGGATTCAGGAGAGGTAGTAGGGCTTGGTCTTAGGCAATTTTGGCTATGTGCTGGGCCTGTTGGTTTGAAGGCACCAAGTAAACCTGAAAATTGGTGATTATCTGTATTAATGAGTAAATGGGACCACTTAGTGGTAAACCTATACAAATATATGAATGAATAGTTCTTTCTATGTTACCATCAAACCCTCAGCTACAATCCTTTCCTCCTCCTTGACCGCTGCTTAGTGTGTAATGATCTTCAGTACTTCCATGTTTGGGCAATTGAAACAAAAGAATATGAAGTCAGGTTACATAATAATATCTAAACTCATAAATCAGAGATATCCTGCATTAAGGATGACTTAATAGGCATAACAAACTTGTTCAGACTATTTACATTCTTTAATATAAATACAGAGAGTAGGATAAAAAACATAGCTTAAAATTAAGCTTTTCATACAGTTGAGGGAGCCCTTCAGTGAGGGAGTCTTTAGAGGCAGGTTGTAGTATTCTCAGGCCTGACTCTTGTTTGCCTTATTACTTGATAAGAGGTCAAAGATCCTTCCCAGATCCAAAAATGGTAATTTAACCCACTTGAGACATTAGCATTGTAACCATCAAAATTCTGTAACTATTCCTAACTTTTGTTCCCCTCCACATGTGATTTTCCATCCAGCCAATCTTAGCGGTGTAGACCGAGGCCCTGACACCACCCTTCCTCCAGTATAATTAAGCATTAACCCCATCTTCTTTACTACACCTTAAGTTAACAAAGTATTTGTGCCTCAAATACTAGATTCATCTGGAGGAGCACTTGCAGGAACATTATCTAGATAAAAACACAAAAAAATTTGTGGAATGACAAGCAACTATACAAAGTACTAATTTCATACAGGCCATGTATGATTGGGAAGGCAGTTGGTCCCTTTGAAACAGTATAATCCATTCATGAATGATTTGAGAAAATTGCTTTTCTTATCACACAAAAATGAATTTTATTGTGTGCACAGTAAGAACACCAAAAAATGTAGAACCCAGGTAGAGAAATTGTACATACATTTGAAAGACCAACATTTTTACAGTAGAGCTATAAATGAAGGGGAATTGTGTCCAGATTCAGTACACCCAGACTTTGTATTTGTTAATGGATTATCATGCTGAGACATGAATTCTCATGAAATTAATGATTGCATACTGATAATAGTAATACATATTTTATTGTACAACAGCTCTGTGCTGCAATATGCTTGAAGCTTTAACTTAGAATTGGTCTGGCAGATTCATCACCTGGCAGACGTATTTTATAACTAACAAACTTTGTAGCACTGAAAATCAGGAATATTGTAATGTTTCTCTGCAGCCTTGAAATGTGCTGTGTGCATTCACAATAGGCATTGTACATCTAAATGAGAGGAAAAATTAAGCTTAGTCATTCCTAATTGGCCTGGGTAGTTTTTTAAAAACCACCCAGATAAAATCCAGACTCCAGACATTCACACCCTATGAGCAGTATTTCTCTGCACCTGCTCTGACCCTCTCCTCTGGTGCTGCTATCCATTGCCTTGCAGCTATTTCTTTGCTTACTGTAATGGGGATTCTTCTGTCACAGTTGATTGCTACACTTAAGTGCAGCCTGCTGCATTCCGAACTTCAAGGAGCTGTAAATGGAGATGGTTTTACATCTTCATTCATTTGCTGGTTGCTGTTCTTCACATTATCTGCTCTCAGAGACTTTATGGAATACTATGGTTCGTTTTCTGCTGCCCATTTGGAAGCTATAGGCACCTGGAATAGAAGTCGGTGTGGAAGAGGATAATATGGCCTTAAAAGTTCTACCCACGTACTCCCTTCTGCCTCTGTATCTGTTTGAAACATTAAAAGAACATTTTCTCTGCATCTTTAAATGGAGTAAAATATAACAAGATGGGAAAAGCTGTCAATTGACCTTTGGACAGTCAACAGCTCTTCTGTTCCTCTTCTACATTTGTTCCCGTCTCAGACAGTTTGTCAACTTTAACTCATCTCGTGGCCAGCTCTCCTGAGTGCCTGGTTCCTCCTGATGAATATACAGGGCAATTTCCTATCGATTTAGAGTTGCTCTTTCCACACTATCAGCAATATTTCTGGCTGAGACTTTTCATAAAAATGGGGCCTCTCATCTGTTTCCCTGCGTAAATCTACTAGGAGTTTAAAATGGCAAAGCAACATTGTTTGAAGGATAAATTTCCTTCAAATTACAACAGATGGAAGAAAAGATTTTAAATGGCATCTTTTAAAATGCCTGGTTAACATAATAGGGATCATATTTTAGTGTCAGCAGTTTATATCTTAGTGATCTAGTGCATAAACTCTCACTTGAGGAAGAGGCTGAAACCAGCTATGCGGAGAACTGGAAAGAAAAATCCTTTTCAGCACCTGGATGACTACTCACTAACTGAATGTGAAGCATTGGTTTATTCTTGTATATTTC